CTTATGATGAAAAAACCATGCTTGAATTTCGAGTTCAAACGATTTACTAATTTTTTCCCCAGTGCTTGGAATTGAAGTGGTTTCAACATCTGGGCTGCGCTCATAGCACATGCGCAGGGTGAGAATAGTTCATGCAGCTTGGAAGCTTGGGTTGTCCAGTGAATACTCGAGGCTTTGGTGTGAGCTAATTTCCTACACGTTTTGTTGATATATCTCACAGGCGCGAGGGGTTTTATATGTTATTACAGTAGATTACCGATTTAACTGTTTATATAATTTCATTTGGCTATTTCACCACACGTTCTTCTTACCGAGTCACTTTCTCAGTTCGATACTTAAAAACTTAGCGTTGACAGAATTTCTAACTCTTAGTGATATGGATATGTCGTTGTCACAGACAAAACTCAATGTCTGTTTTATTGACGCCTATGTTGTCTGCCCGTCTGCTAATGACAATATTCAATACACAACTTCGATCACTGACCACATGCAATTTGAACTTAACAGCTATCAGGCTCTACACCATAAACAAAACGCGTTGATGTAGCATGGTCCTGAGTACGGTCTCTGTCACATTATGTACTTACGCAGACAGGCAGGCGTGATACTTGTACACATGACAATGCCACCGTTCGATTCTTCACATGAGTACACTGTGCGAACCATTTCTGGCGTCCACCGCCGTTATGTTGTTGGAACATTGCTAAAAAGCGGCGTAAAACCAAATCACTCTCTCACCCTTGCTCAGTCCCCATCTGTGTGTTGTCTTCTCAAAATTATTTGTACCCTGTGGCGTACGCATGTATGCTCTCTGCCTCAAAACGTATTCATTCACCTGATACGAAGACGTAGAGTATATTCTCCGAGGCGTTGTGATCCTCCATAATACAATCCAGTTAACGTCCATAAAACTTATGTTAAGGATTTTAGATGTTTTTCTTCAGAGTCACAAGTCTGATATTCCAATATTGTAGGATAGGATGAAACTGGGATTAACAAAATGTCCCAAACAGCTCGTTCCATCACTTTTTGTAATCTACGTTATAAGCTGTAATTTACGTTACCTTACAAACTAATTCGGTCTCAAATACATTGATTTTACAACAACACCATGTATGAAAGTCATTATTGCTGCTTGATTAGCGGTAAAAAAAATATTCATATCTACTGGAACGTGTAGTAGTTATGAAGGTATTACTTCATTCATTGCAATCTTCGTTACAATACTTTGAGGCAATTACAAAATTCGGAGTGAAAGAGTATGTTGCAGTTTAGGGTCCAATATCAATATATATAAAAAGTCTATGTGACATTAGCAGAAATGATACAAGCTTCACGAAAAATACAAATTTTACCAATCTTTTGAATTGATGGCTATTGACAAATATAGTGATCATTTCCAAATGCTCTACCTAAAATTCTCAACGAGTAGAACAATTCTTTAAAATATCATTGAAACTATACCCACCCTATCATGAAGTAAATTAACAAACGCAATCTTACCTGTTTCACAGGAATTTCCCGAGATAAGATGGAGTTTCCCTTCAAATTTGAATTTCGTGAAATGTCACTGAAGTGCTGCGATCATATGAGCAGCAACCGGTGGCAACTATTGTAAGTAATCAAATTATTTTGCCTGGGTTCTCTGACTTTATATACAAAGCGAAATCTTCTATTTCCGAAGTAATATTTTTGTAAGATTCCACATCGGGTGGTAATGTAGATTTCATAACGTAGATTACTTTTCACCGTTTGCAAACTATCACATGATCTTGAGTGGAAGCATATTGCACTCCTTTTCGGTTTTATTACACTATGAAAACACAGAAGCATTCATTCTAATCACTTTTATAGGTAGCTATTAATGTTTCCGTGCCAGTAATGGCAACGCAGCTTTCATGCTCAACACAAACTAATTTTATAGACCAGGTTCGTCTTTGTGTACGGTTTTATATGGTTCGATATGTTTCCAAGATGGCATTTTTTATGCATATATATCAAAGTAAAACCTTGCGGGCTTTCAAAACAAATGTTTGTCAATATATATGCATTTAACAGTGCATTTTACGTTCTGTTATACGTAGATTACTGCTATTGTGGCGACATATTTCGTAGTGTCACATTTGTTTTGTTTATTATGATAATCACTTCATTTTTCATAGGTTTTACATTCATCAATACATTGCAACAACCCTATTGGGCGTGATTTTAAACGCCTAAGATGGTAAACTTATACTAATTGTATCAATTTGTTTGGCGACACCAAGAATGAATAAATTGTGACACATGTTTTCATTGTTACAAACAAAATAGTGATTTCCAGTTGATTTCTACAAAGTATACCATGTTTACGCGGTGGTACTGGATGCGTATTTGACTTTTATTCGTGTTTATTCGTCTGCTAAACAATTACAAATCAAAACGACAGAAGAAATAGGTAATTGGGCATTCTCTCTGAGAATGGGTGAGGAGTTGTGGGGGAAGGAGAACCTGAAAATCAATCCCTAAATTTACAAGCTAGATTGATATTTTCAAAGCTTGTAAATTGTTGTGACCCACCCTTTTCTTCTTGTGACAAGCCAACGTCTTGTCCCTGAGTTATTCTGACCGAGGATGGAATGTTTTATGCCAGATGCAATGTTCTATACAAGATGCAAGGTTCTATGCTTCTTGTTATGCTATGTAAGATACAAGGTTCTATGCTTTATCAATGCGTTATGCTTTTGGCAATGTACTATGCAGGATGCAATGTTCTATGCAGGATACAATGTTTTATGCAGGAGTCAATGTTTTATGTAGGATTCAATGTTCTTTGTTTCAGCTAACTAACGACGTGAGCAATGTGCACAGCGGATCACCAGTAAGATCACTGCTGTGACAGAGAGGTCAACATCGGGGAAAAGCTCAAACTGTTCTGGACCAGGTAAACTTTTCATTTTATGTGCCCATGAGTTAGTCGTCATACAATGTACATCAGGTAATTTATGAATGGCAACGATAGCAACTCACTCGTAATCTATGCTTTTCAATACACTCACAATTCTAAACCGTCCAATATTTTTGCTATTTACCAATCTTTCGCACTTTCATTTCTTTTTCAATTTTCTTGGACTTTGTCTCACAAAAGGATGGATTTCGTTCGTTCGTGACCATGACACACAAAACACTTAATACCTAGCAACAAAACTTAGCAAATCCTGAAGGGTGTCTTTTGGAGTTTGGGCCATTTTATATTTTCTTGATTGCCATGAAAGCAATTTGGCCTAGGGTTTCTCAAGGAGGGTTGGATTTTGTTTCCGGAGTTCAACTTGAAAACCATGAAAGATTTACATGTACAAACCTGGAACTTGTATTACCAAGGAGCTAAAGTGTTGCCTTTTGCTATTTGGGTATTTTCAAAATTGATTTTCTCTGTTTCCATGGAAACAAGTCAAATTTAGCTATTTGAAGTTTTTGGGACAACGTGTTTAAATTCATAATAACTCTCATTTAACTCATTCATGAAAACATGATAATAAAACATGCTACTAAACTTAGGGCACTGTCCTGTGTCACGAAAACATGATTAAATTGAAACTGGGATTTTGTCCCTATGTTGTTTGTTTTGGTGTGGAATTTTGTCCAAAGACAATTTGTGCTATGGGATTTTTGTCTGGGTGGGATTTTGTCAGCCCCACCCTACTAGGTAATCTTCATGAAACTGTGAACAAACGGAAACCAGGTCGTCAACTGCTGTAGTTTGCTGTTACAGATTCTTAAAATTTGTGTTTTCCTTTGACGTTGATGTTGGTGTCAACCTAACATAAAGCACAAAGTTACGAGCCCCAGTTCCATGTAATTGGTTTTACAGCTCAGTAACTACTCTTGTATGCGGACGGACAGATAAGAGAGACATACTCCCATCGAGTTGGACTGTATCTCTTGCGATAAAGTGTTCACCATCAAGTATATTCTGCTGTACTGTGTGGACTTTTCATATGCAAGGGATTCATCTGATGAAGCAACACATCTGAAAGAGCGGGCATCTCTTTGTGAGGGAAATTGGTCTCTATCATAAATTGTAACTAACTGAAGGTGTGACAAATTGCTTTTTAAAATTTGGTGTTACAGCTTTTTGATTTGCAAATGATACTGTAATGGAGAAATACGCATTTTTAGAGACTACTTTGGACTTTGTAACCGAAAAGAGTATATGTGCAGACCTTTCCAAAACAACTTAACTCAGCCATAAAGTCGGACTTCCATGTTGGCTGAGCGATCAAATTAGCTGTTTGAAACAGAGGTGTTAATTAAGATTTGAAACCTCTGGTGAACCACCCTGGAACGAATATTTTTCTAAATTCACGTTCTCTACTCTGAATTCTTTTAAGAGATATCACAATTCAGTTGTCACCTTTTAAGATTACTGCTTAGAGAGAGATTGAACTGTATCATAAATTGTAACTTTGTAATTTGTTTGAGACAAATTGTTGTTTGTTTCATTATTTTTAGAAGTGGGTGGGTGGGTGGGGATTTGGTGTAAATGACCTTTTCTGTTTCTAAATAATAATGTGTAATGAATATATATGGGTTTTAAACAAACCAAACTCATTTGGCCTTTGTACCCTTAAAATGTTTATGAATGCAGACTTAATCTCGTCACTATATGGCTGGAGTAATCCCGATGTGACGTAAAGTCTAACTCAGCTCAAATTCTTTAAGACATATACTGTCTATTCTCGTTGACCAACTTGCACAGCTCTGTGAAGAAATAACCAGTTTATATTTATTATGGCTTTGTTGATAATTGTGTAATGAAGACATATACATTTTAAGAAACTCGTTTAAACTTTGTAACTCAAATATGTATATCAGCTGACAATGGCGATGCGACGTAAAACTCAATTCAGCTATACTCCTTTACGTTTGCTGTAGGAAACCATGTAAAGTTTGCTTTTTGACCGAGCCACAAGGTTTGGTATTCCAATATTGTAGGAACTGTCAAGACTAACAAAAGATACTGTGTACCTGGCTTTTTCCGCTTCGTTCATCAAGCAGCAGGGATATATTCTTGTCACTGCAATACTATGGGCAATGAAAACAACGTGGTGAGTACATATGATATGTGTCACTGTTACAAGGGAATGTATGCTGTTCTGCAATTTATTTTTCTGCTTGTTTCCTTTCATGTATTCTAAGCAAAATATATCTGTTAATTGGTCATATGTTTTTAATTTTGTCATTTAACGCCGCATTTAGCAATATTCCCACCACATGGCGGCAGTAGCTTCTGGGCTAGACAATCCAGTGATGAACAGTTGAGCATCGATCTATGCAACTGGGATACGATGACATGTGTCAACCATGTCAGTGAGCCTTACCCCCACCCCCATGTTTAAATGATAACAGAAATGTTCGATATATTCTGATATTTTTATAACTTGCCGAGCATAACATATTGGGAGGTTTGCAGGTGTTATTCATCATGCAATGCTTTTGAAGTTCTATCTGCTCTCTAGTTCATACTAGAAGAAGACGGTTTGCTTTGATCAGTATGTACCATTCATCATGACACGTAAGTCAATATATGACTTAGCAATCCGTGAAGATTCGGGATAGAACTGGCCTTCAGCAACCCATGCTTGTCGTAAAAACCGACTAACGAGACACATGTCATCGTATGTCAGTTGCGTAGATAGATGCTCATAGTGATCACTGGATTGTCTGGTCCTAACTCGATTATTTGCATACCCTGCCACAAAGCTGGTAGCTGAAATATTACTGAGTGAGTGAGTGAGTGTCGGTATCTGGAATATGATTAAGTGAGTGAGTGAGTGTCGGTATCTGGAATGTGAGTGAGTGAGTGAGTGAATGAGTGAATGAGTGAGTGCCGTATCTGCAATATGGTGAGTGAGTGAGTGAGTGCCGGTATCTTGAGTGAGTGAGTAGTCCATCGCCCTAACACACGTAAACCAAACCAGTCCCTTGGCAATATTCATTTTCTGTCTCCAGTGAAAGGTTCCTCTGAGAAGAAGTCTGAAACTCCGGGACAAAATGACATTCCTGTTATCAACATTCCGATATTCGAAATGGTTTGTACATCTGCCAATCCCTCTTACAGTGGTCGCTAATGTTGCATGTAGGTTTATTAATTTTGAGACATACATTTTCTCACAACGAATGAAACAAAACTTGTCCCATTAGAGAGTGTGTTTACTAGTAATACCAGACAGCCCTGAGATAATTTGTTACAAAAAAATCATTTTAATATCAAATAATGCATTAAATACATTCGCCGGGTTCAACGTCAAATATTCTGCAGTGTAGAACTGGTGGTGATAACTGGCGGTATAATCCGATTTCGGTCGGTTCGAATCCCTTTAGCGTGATATTGATCCTTTGTTTGTCAGTAACACATCAACATATCCCCGATATCAATCACTGGGTTGACCCTTAAAAACGTATATACCTCTGAAGATCCGGGTTCAAATTGGTCTTCGACAACCCATTCTTGTCGAGAGGCGACTCACAGAATCAGGTGGTTAGGCTCGCTGATGTGGTTGACACATGTCATCGTATCTCAGTATCGTAGATTGATGCTCATGATGTTGATCACTGGATCGTCTGGTCCAGGTCCGATTATTTACAGACCACCGCTACATGGCTGAATTTGCCTTGTGTGGCCATCAACAAAAACAAAGTAAACACATCATTCAAGATTGAGTAATTCCTTTTCCATTTTGTGTCTGACATTTCATTGAAATATATTATCTTAGCAAAAACTTCCATTCTGAATCTAAATTGATTTATAAGTCTTCGAATTTCTTAGGTTTGGCATCACTCTGGAAAACGACGAAATGACCCCTTTAGACATCTATGTAGAATCTGAGGACGGCAAAAGCCTCAACTTCATGACTTTTACCTGTCACAGGCCACCAGCTTCATCAACATGAGAAACAGCAGAAGGATGTCCTGACCTAGCACGGACGACATTTGTGCTGGCAGTAGTGTTACAGTGGAATGACTTTCAGGTACACTATCACCAGGACCCGTCAAGATCCGGGCTAGAATTGGTCTTCAGTAATCCATGCTTGTCGTAAGAGACGACTAACGGGATCGGGTGGTCAGGCTCGCTGACTTGGTTGACATGTATCCAAGTTGCGTTGGCCGATGCTCATGCTGTTGATTTTACAGGATTATCTGGTCCAGACTTGATAATTTACAGACCGCCTCCATACGACTGGGGAGCGGTGGGTTAGTATTGTGGCTAAAGCGTTTGCTCGTCACACCATACACACGGGTTCCACACATGGGTACAATGTGTGAAGCCCATTTCTGGTGTCCCAACCGTGATATTGCTGGAATATTGCTAATAGCAGCGTAAAACCTCACTCCACTCAACCTAATATGTGACTTAACTTTCACCAAACCAAGAGCCATTGTGATGACGTATTCAATACGACCAAATCAGTAATATCTACTAATGTTATGAACACATTTAGTTCAGCTTTTAGACCAGTATGAAATACAATATCAAGTGTTTGAGCAATGATTCTGAAAGTTATGGGATGCTTTGTCAGGAAAGAGCATGGACATAGTCCATCATTTCTATTCTTCTTCATACAACAAATGCATGGAAAAATACAATAAATGCTAAATGTAGTGACTATTGTAAGTTATTTCTAATCTTTGAAAGTGAACATATACTCTCAAAAACAAGAGACGCATAGGTGATATTGATATATGTAATTTCAAATAATTTTCTAAATTATTGTTTGATTGTTATGTCTTCGTCATTAAAACGCTGTCTTGTGTACACGGAACGAATGCACAGTGCAAGAAACGCATCTTCGGAAACTTTAATGAAAGTCTACTTTCAAAATAGTCAACTTGCATGAAAATGTCATGCAGAAAAATGTGGTTCCTGTTGAACTGTTTACAAGCTATATATGTTAACAGGCATATATTTGAGCTTTTATACTGTGATGTTTGGATGCAACTAATCAAACATTAAATGTGTTATTTCACTTCAAAGTTGGCAGATTGAAATACATGTATTCACCTAATGCGTTTCTTTCTGTTTTGGCATATGCTCATGCAGATTAAGGGGTTTGGGTGCAGACAGTTAAAACAAAGTGATACATGGTTCTACAGTCATGAATGAGTCCATATTTCAGTTTAAAATATGTCAGCCTTACTTTTTGCCAAAGAAAATTGATTGAAATACTTATTTCAGGTGTCTGTTGATAATAATTTGGTGTTCACTCTGAAGATCCCCGAGCCGAAACCAGTGAACGCGGTCACAGTGGCAGGAGACGTTAAAGTCCGGAGGATTTACATAGAGTGATACATTTCAAGATATCACACTTACAACTGTTAATTGTCCAACAATTCGATTTGTCTTATAGATTACACTTAATGCTTTTGTTTATTGTTCCAAGGACACGGTGTAACTATAGTAAACAATATTACAACTGAGAAAGACATAAAATGTTTTACAAGCATTACAGAATTATGAAACAATGTCCATGTCTTTATTTTAAACAATGGTTTGAAAATGGAATAATGATGTTTTTATGCTTTGTGCCTTATGAATGGATGGTCTCATGTGTGACTGAGCGACTGGAAGAGTAATAAGGGCTACCCAGCTCTCACCACGAGGAGGTTGCTCTTCACGTCTGATTCATGGGGCTGTAAGCCAATTCACATTTTGACAGAAATATTATTAACATTTTGAACAAACCAGAAGTGTTTCTTTTCAAAATCACAATATTTGTAAACATTCCATGCACAAGCCATGGCCTATTCTACCACCCATCATGGCAAAGTGTGTTGGATAATTGCCAGCTCCGATAACCTCAACTACCAGACGCCATATCTGCCCACCAGGGACGCAACCAACGGTAAACACGTGGCCGAATTGGGTGGCCTTTTACGGCCAGTAATGGGTCTGGATCCTTGTGTAGTTTGTATTTACGTTTAAGCATACACATATCACCAAACCACAAATTCACCAAAAAGAAAAACCAAAGCGTTTTCCCGTTGCTCACACCAAATATGAAATTATTGCGCGCATATATTCTACTGCCATATCTGTTAGTGTACACTTCAATAATCAGAATTCTACCACAACCACGTTAAGTGGTCCAGTTCTATTGCAAAATAATTTGTATCAACATGAGTCTTATTTTACGGGCGCTTCGTTGCCCAGGAATGTCCAACACTGTCGCCATGCTCCCGTTTAACAACCGGCATAAATTATATCAACACAACAGGATTGTAGCATAGGCAATGTTTCTAAATATTTAACATATAGTAAATATATAACCCAATAAAAAAAATATATTGCCTGCTTTGTCATGCAGGCAGTCCTATTTAATGAACACATCGCTTTTGGAAACATCTTTGTAAACATTTCATCACAATTGTAAGAAAGGTACACTCACTCACTCAATCAGTCAGGGCGGTTTGGTTGTTAGGGTGCTGGTGCTTTTGTTAGTGTATGGGTCTTTTCATAATGGCCTTGATATTATCACAAGGTCTGTCATACATGGTATAGATATATATATTTTATTTATATCCCCTACCGTTCATAAAAATGTCTATGATTTAAAGTAGTACTAGTCCAGAGATCACGTGACACATCCATCACTGATACAAGAAATGGGAAAGAAAGTGGTATCAGCAGTTCTTCTTCAGATTCCATGGAAAGGAGCTAGCCCTCTCAACGTTAGTGATGGGCTGATAAACAAGTTCGGGGGGTCCGGTGCTTCTGCCTGATGGACAGTCTGACAGTCGATTAACGAATGGACGAGACTCCGTGTTATGAATTTAGAATCATACTGAGGATAATATGTAGTCATCCGTCGCTGTCGATATACCAGCGTTTAGAATTCCCGCCTGCCCGACCGTCCGGAACGGTCTGTTTTCATCTCGGACGGTCACATTTCAAAAGTAGCCTGTCCGGTTGTCTGGTAGATGTTTTTTACCCCATAACAAAAAATATTTCATAATATCAGACAGGTTCTCTTGCCGTCAGTTTGACGAGTTTAAGGTATTATGATAATTATGTTAAACTATTTACGATTGGACAGTTCATTTTACAAGAACCAATCACAACACATGTACTTTCAGTTTACCTAAACTCGGTGCATTGCCTGTTAGTGCTATGTTGTTCTTTGCGATGCCTACAAACAGTAAAGTATTCAGAAACCCGATTTTATTCATTGTTGAAAACCGGACAGGCAAGTTTGTATCCGGACTGGTAATTTTTTAAAGTCACCAGTGCGGCTGTCTGGCCTGGAATTTTGGGAGTTTTAAACACTGGATATACACCAGTATCTTCTAGTTTGACAAGCAACATTTATTCTAATTCATATTACACAGTCTGATCCATGCAGTTATTAATATATCAGTGCCTATTACATATGTTTCAACATTGCCGAGTATCAGTGAGATACAAGCTATACATAATCTTATTAGACAGTCTGATAAAGGCATTAATGTCAAAAACAAAAACAACAAAAAAACAAACCAAAATATTTATTCCATTGCCCGTTTGACACCATCGCACCAGCCTCACTCCACTTCGACTCCACCTTTCCCACGTCCTTTCTATCTCAAGAGCTCCTAACGGTTACTTCTCCCTGAAAAAAAGAGCTCCCTCAGCACGTTTACGTCTTGGGCAAGGGAGTTAACTCACGACAAATGTCCAGTTCCCACCCGTAGAAAACTAGGCTCGAAGTTTGTAGCACGATCCGCCAATGGCTATTAGGAGTTGTGTCCCTTGTATGTCCTTTTCTCTTGACCAATCAGATTCCTCCCTTTACCTCGGCAACTCATGCCTGTCAGAAATGTGGTGAGACACGCCGAGCTGGTCGATGCGTAGCATGGTAGATCGATGCTCACTAGACAGTCTGCACCGTCAATCAGCTCAAACATTGATGTGCGCTGTGTTAAACAATAGACTAACGAAATAACAATAAAGACACGATACAACCTCGCTGTGAAGGAATTACACATGGTTATAACATTTTAATAACGCTTCACTTGGTTCCATGATCTTGACCTGAGGGCTCTAGCAAGGGGGCTCCCATTTCTTGTAGCAACCATGTAATCTGATGTTTTCGAATAAATGTTTAAATTTGACAAGTATCACTTAATATTTTAACGAATACACCAGAGGATAGTTTTCGCAGTTTTGTACCAGATAAATGAATAAATCGTTTCTACGGAAGTAGAATATGGTTATCATTTAATGCACAAGCTCCAAGTGAGTTCATTTTTTTTCAACCTGTGGTCAGAAGTCCTGAATATGCCCATAGTGTATATGACCAGAAGTCAAAGATAAATACATGTAGATGGATGGATGGATGGATGGATGGAAGGATGGATGATGATGCGGATGGATGGAGAGATAGATGGAGGTGTGGATGGATGGAGGGAGAGAGTGGGAAGGATGGATGGATGGATGAAGGTGTGGGTGGGTGGAGGTAGAGAGAGAAAAGGATGGGTGGATGGATGGATGGGATGATGGAAGGATGGAAGGATGGATGGATGGAGGAGGGAGGGGAGATGGATGGATGGAGAGATTGATGGATGGATGGATGGAAGGATGGATGGAGAGAGGGAAAGGTGGTTGGATGGAGGGAGGGATGAGGGAGAAGGGAAAGATGGATTGATGGAGGGAGGGATGAGGGGAAGAGGGAAATATGGATTGATGGAAGGAGGGATGAGGGAGAGAGGGAAAGATGGATTGATGAAGGGAGGGATGAGGGAAAGATGGATTGATGGAGGGATGGAAAGATGGATTGATGGAGGGAGGGATGAGGGAGCGGGGGAATGTCGGATTGATGGAGGGACGGATGAGGGAATGATGGATTGATGGATTGATGGAGGGAGGTATGAGGGAGAGAGGGAAAGATGGATTGATGGATGGAGGGATGAGGGGAAAGATGGATTGATGGAGGGAGGGATGAGGGAAAGATGGATTGATGGAGGGAGGGATGAAGTAGAGAGAGGGAATGTCGGATTGATGGAGGGAGGAATGACGGAAAGATGGATTGATGGAGGGAGTGATGAGGAGAGAGGTAAAGATGGATTTATAGAGGGAGAGAGGAAAAGATGGATGGAGTGAGGGATGGAGGATGGATTCATGGAGGAGGAGGAGGAGGAAAGATGGATCGATGGAGGATGGATAAGGAGAGAAGGAAAGGTGGATTGAAGGAGGAGGGCTGAGGGGAGAGGGGAAAGATGGTTTGATGGAGTGAGGATGAGGAGAGAGGGAAAGATGGTTTGATGAAGGGATGGAGGGAGGAGGGATGGATGGAGGAGTGAGGGATGAGGAGGGAGGAAAGATGGTTTGATGGAGTGAGGGACGAGGGAGAGAGGGAAAGATGGTTTGATGAAGGGAAGGAGGGATGGATGGAGGGAGAGAGGGAAAGATGGATTGACGGAGTGTGGGATGAGAGAGAGCCGGAAAGATGGATTGATGGAGTGAGGGATGAGGGAAAGAGGGAAATATAGATTGATGGAGGGAGGGAGGGAGGGATGGATGGAGGGAGAGAGGGAAAGATGGATTGATGGAGGGAAGGAGGGATTGATGTAGGGATGGAGGGAAGGATTGATGTAAGGAAGGACTGATGGGTGGAGAGATGTAGGGATGGAGGGAAGGATGGATTGATGGAGGGAAGGATTGAGGGAAGGGTGGATTGATGGGTGGAGAGATGTAGTGATGGAGGGAGGGATTGATTGAGGGATGGAGGGATGGAAGCATTGATGGACGGAATGAGGGAAGGATTGAGGGAAGGGTGGATTGATGGATGGATTGATGGGGAATGGAGGGATGGGATGAGAGAGGGAAAGATGGAAGGATGGAGGTAGGGATGGAGGGATTGATGGACGGAATGAGGGAAGGATTGAGGGAAGGGTTGATTGATGGATGGTGTGATGGGGGATGGAGGGATGGAATGAGAGAGGAAAGATGGAGGGATGGAATGAGGGATGAGGGGTAGAGGGAAAGATGGATTGATGGACGGAAGGATGGATTGATTGATTGATGGAGGGATAGAGGGAAGGATGGATGGATGAGGGATGGAGGGATGGGTGGAGGGATGAGGGAGAGGGGGACAGATAGATTGATGGAGGGATGGAGGGATTGATGGAGGGACTGAGGGAATGATGGAATGATTGAGGGAGTGAGGGAAGAATGGATTGATGGGTGGAGAGATGTAGGGATGGAGGGATGGATTGATGGAGGGAGTGAATGAGGGATGGATGGATTGATGGATGGCTGAAGGGAGGGATGGATGGAGAGAGGGAAGTATGGATGGATGGAGGGAGGGATAAAGGTGTGTATGGATGGATGGGTGGATGGATGGATGAAACACGAATCAGTTGAAGTCAAGCAATGTCGATCTCGGACAGTCCTCGGATGGATAACCGTGTTTTGCAACTTGACTCCTGAGAGTTTCTAGAAAGACTCTTACGCCAATGAATTATTTGGGATGTGAAGCAGAGGATATCACCCAAAATACCACAGACAAATTGGAAGACAATCTGAAA